CACTGTCACTGGCGACTGCTGCCTTAAGCCCCCGGGACTTTCACAAGGATAAGCCTGCTTATTACGTGACATTTTCTACATGCCATCGCAAGATTTGGACTTGCATGCTTATACACCCCCACCCCTTACGGGACCATTTCCAAAATGTGCTGGTGGAGCATTGTTGGTGCAGCTCATTAACTATAGCCATGGGTACAGATATGAGATAAAAAATGTGTGTATTGAGTCTTCCTCTATTCGTGTGTGTGGCCAATTAAGAGGAACGATTATAAATTCAGTTTTAAGTGAATTAGTCATTCAATTGCTTTGTCTTGAGAGTTGGTGCATCGCAGACATACCAACCGCTTTCAAATTTATATTTGGGGCTGTACGAAGTTGCATGGTCCGTTGTTTGGGAGTTGTCTTCCACCACAACCTCGCTTCCACTGTGAAGTCAACCTCGTTATAAACAGCATAGCTGCTCCGAGTAAGAGTGACCAATTGTGTGCCAGTGTTTGGAACACAGCCAACTTTTAATAAATGCTTGCAGAGGTCCGATTCTTCACTGCTACACTACGCTATGGGGTTACTTTGGGCCAAACTGCCACAAGGCAATAAACAGCACATCACATACAGCAGTGTTTCTTAACTCCAGTCCTCACCATCCATGTCTGCCTTTTCGCAATACCAATCATTTTCTATTCATATGCAAAGTAATTCATGGCACACCGCATGCACGTGATGGATGGTATCCATGGAATGTTATACACCTTGGGGATCACGGTTGATGCATACCGATATATATAGTAATACGCTACGGGCAAACCCTGCGATTACTGATGCATGGGAGGGTCTACCCAAGTGTTTACGAGTACGGTCAATTATAACAATTATAACGAAAAGGCATTAAGCTATAAACGCGGAATTAAATGACCGCTTACTTTGTGTAGCTTTTTATCTAAAGGACAAAATCTAAATTCGAGCATGAAGAAGTTTTATGAAACAGTTATTTAAATTCCCCCAGATGAAGCCCTTTACAAATGAAGGGGTTACAAGCCAGGGGGCTAAGAATATGCGAACTGCATGCTACGCTAACGACCAGTTTCTGGTATTTGAGCACAACCGCAGTTCATATTTCATCATAACAAGACAATACTTTCATCACCAGTGGGATTGAGAGCCATGGATCACTACCAGCTGCCTAAGCAGGATAATTAGGGGGCATTGAAAACATTAAAAACTCAATTAAACAAAGGCGACCTAAAATGTACTGCTAACGGTGAAATTTTGAGCCAGCCAGTTTGACTGCCTTGTAAAGATTGTACGCATTTCAAGATTCCTAAGATAGTTCATTACAAATTAGCATGCGTTTGAAACGCATTCAAGCAGCTGTTACAACAAAATCAATTCAATCAAGAAATCAATTAACCTTGCCAAGAACCAGTGGAAGCAATCTGCGTACAGAGTGAGAAGAGTACTTCCATAAATACATGTGACGCATTAAAACGCGAGGTCAACAACGTGGTCAACACTAAGAGCGTCCCAAGACACAGTGGCACACGCCGTGCACGCACAGCCAAACGCTCAGGGTAAAAGCCCTCCTTTACATAAACACAACCTGGTCACACGACAATTGCGTGGATTACACTCACACTTAAATAAACTTACCATGCCAAATAAATATAAGAGAGAGAGACAGGCCACCGACCCGGTAAAGGCCATTGCATGCCGGGGCAACCGAGCATTGGCGGATTGGCGGTCACGGTTGGCTGCAGTGAGACTTTTAAAGACCGGCTGGTCCAAAGGCATCTGCGTTTAAAGAACATAAAATCCCCAAAAAGGCTGGATAAAGTTACTAAGAAAAAAAGAGAGCTCAATTTGCCTTCATGGGACCTGCAACCGCTCGCTCCCTCGCTCTCTCGTTCAGAAAGTCGCACGCCTAACGAATCCATGTGCGCACGGCGTGGGCACCTTGCACAGTCAACGCAGAGGAGACACAAAGCTGGCAGGGTGGGGGGGGGGGGGTGTGCCTTGGTTTGGGTCGGGAACTTTATATAGCAGAAGACTACTTGCTACCCGCCGTGCCACAATTCGAAGCAGCGCGGCAAACTTACTCAGTCAGCGCAGTTATTAAAAAAAACAAATAAAGAAGCAGAAAAGTTCACTTCATATATATATTCGTCTGAATGAAAAAAAATATATATCAACGTTTTACTTATACGACCCATCAGCCGTGCGGCCTTGTGGGAGTGCATAATTTCAGCAGCAGACATGTCCACTTATTCATTTGGTTATTTATATTCTACGCAAACGACGCCAATTATCATTTAGAATTCTTAAAACATGTCGGTCAGACTGTTTGTCTATCCAGATGACTTGGGGAGTAGACTGCATGGGTTCAATGGCTGGAATTAGGCATGTCACGATTCAGCAATACGTGTCTATTTTTGTGTTCACAATCCCGCAGCCAAGGATAAATTATTTACGAGTTATGCCAATGACATGCTGATGTACTTTTTCGGCGTACAGAACCAATAAGAACAATGGCTGTACGCAAAAGTCAGACAACTGGAGGGCCAGACAAGAAGAATGCAACCATGACACCGAATTGTTGGAATGAATCAAAATCACCAGATGTCTGTTTGGAATCTTACAGGAAAGCCTCATTGAACCTGAAGCCCTTTTCAAGAGGGTCCCCTCCTTCAGGATGTTTAGTCGATTCCGTTGAGCATTTTTTTGTGTGGGGGGAGTGGGAGGGAGGTAAACCATGGCTTTTATTGTGATGTTATTACTCTGAATAGGAGAACTGAGAGATAAGCAAAGTACCAACTCAGCACAAACTTGCGGTGACAATGACGATCAGAAAAAAAAAAAACCTCACCCGTTTAGGCTTCGGCTTAAACAAAGTTAACAGCAACAAAAATAAATCGGTGCGATTTCATTTAGTTACTACATCGATGCAAGAAAGCATGGCATTTTTACATCTCACACACTGTAAATAGAAAGAGCACGACAGTGGTGTTCCTGAAAGTCACGTGACTTGTCACTTACAAGTTCTTGCTTCCCACTAATAAAGCTTCATGTGTATGTCGGACAGTCCAATACACATAGGGGGGGCAGGGGCAGCAGCATGGAGCAGCCACATTTGACAATCAATCTCCACCTCCGGGCTCATTAATATTTGATAGCACGAGCCTCCGCTTATACAGTGAGGGAAAAAAGTATTTGATCCCCTGCTGATTTTGTACGTTTGCCCACTGACAAAGAAAAAAATCAGTCTATAATTTTAATGGTAGGTTTATTTGAACAGTGAGAGACAGAATAACAACAAGAAAATCCAGAAAAACGCATCTCAAAAATGTTATAAATTGATTTGCATTTTAATGAGGGAAATAAGTATTTGACCCCCTCTCAATCAGAAAGATTTCTGGCTCCCAGGTGTCTTTTATACAGGTAACGAGCTGAGATTAGAAGCACACTCTTAAAGGGAGTGCTCCTAATCTCAGCTTGTTACCTGTATCAAAGACACCTGTCCACAGAAGCAATGAATCAATCAGATTCCAAACTCTCCACCATGGCCAAGACCAAAGAGCTCTCCAAGGATGTCAGGGACAAGATTGTAGACATACACAAGGCTGGAATGGGCTACAAGATCATTGCCAAGCAGCTTGGTGAGAAGGTGACAACCGTTGGTGCGATTATTCGCAAATGAAAGAAACACAAAAGAACTGTCAATCTCCCTCGGCCTGGGACTCCATGCAAGATCTCACCTCGTGGAGTAGCAATGATCATGAGAACGGTGAGGAATCAGCCCAGAACTACACGGGAGGATCTTGTCAATGATCTCAAGGCAGCTGGGATCATAGTCACCAAGAAAACATTTGGTAACACACTATGCCGTGAAGGACTGAAATCCTGCAGCGCCCGCAAGGTCCCCCTGCTCAAGAAAGCACATATACATGCCCGTCTGAAGTTTGCCAATGAACATCTGAATGATTCAGAGGACAACATGGTGAAAGTGTTGTGGTCAGATGAGACCAAAATGGAGCTCTTTGGCATCAACTCAACTCGCCGTATTTGGAGGAGGAGGAATGCTGCCTATGACCCCAAGAACACCATCCCCACCGTCAAACATGGAGGTGGAAACATGCTTTGGGGGTGTTTTTCTGCTAAGGGGACAGGACAACTTCACCGCATCAAAGGGACGATGGACGGGGCCATGTACCGTCAAATCTTGGGTGAGAACCTCCTTCCCTCAGCCAGGGCATTGAAAATGGGTCGTGGATGGGTATTCCAGCATGACAATGACCCAAAACACACGGCCAAGGCAACAAAGTATTGGCTCAAGAAGAAGCACTTTAAGGTCCTGGAGTGGCCTAGCCAGTCTCCAGACCTTAATCCCATAGACAATCTGTGGAGGGAGATGACGGTTCGAGTTGCCAATCGTCAGCCTCGAAACCTTAATGACTTGGAGAAGATCTCCAAAGAGGAGTGGGACAAAATCCCTCCTGAGATGTGTGCAAACCTGGTGGCCAACTACAAGAAACGTCTGACCTCTGTGATTGCCAACAAGGGTTTTGCCACCAAGTACTAAGTCATATTTTGCAGAGGGGTCAAATACTTATTTCCCTCATTAAAATGCAAATCAATTTATAACATTTTGACATGCGTTTTTCTGGATTTTGTTGTTGTTATTCTGTCTCTCACTGTTTACATAAACCTACCATTAAAATTATAGACTGATCATTTATTTGTAAGTGGGCAAACGTACAAAATCAGCAGGGGATCAAATACTTTTTTCCCTCACTGTAAGCATAGCACGAGCCACTGTCCAAACACGTTCATTAATTTCCTGGACATTGTGCACACGTGCGATGCGGTGTACATTTGTCAAGAACATTATGATTACCAACGATAGCGCAGCATGTGATATCTTACAGTCACCTCTTTGAGTTTCGGTGACAACGTGAAAAATTATCAAGAAAAACCTCTGCGGGAACTGCCCGAGCACAAACACTCACTGTTGCTGGACTTGAGGTCGCGGTGGATGATGGAGACAATGGCCTCGTCGTGCAGGTAGAGCATGCCGCGAGCGATCTGCACCGCCCAGTCGACGAGGATGTGCGGCGGGATGCGCCGCCCTGCCAGAGCACGGTTCAGCGGCCCGCCACGCGCGTACTCCATGATCAGGCACAAGTTGGGCTCCTGCGCGTCCCCACATGAGTGCCACCAAAATATTTCAACTTTCATTTTAGCATCTAAAGGAAGCAAGAGTAAAACACGAGCTCATGAGTGAAATTAGGTACAGGTGAAGACAGAGATAGGTACGGGGGCCTTCATTGAGCAAATATTGTTTGATAATGGTCATGATGGTGGCAGTGATGATGGTGGTGGCGATGATGATGCTAATGATGAGGGTGGTAGTGGTTGTGATGATTGTGATATTAATGATGGCAACGATAATGACAGTGCGATGATGATGATGACTTTGGTTGATAGTTGTGGATGTGATGAAGATGATGAGGTGATGACAATCATGATGATGGCAAGAACAGTGATGTTTTTACTTGGTGGTGGTGCTGACGATGATAATGTAATGATAACGACACCAACGCTATTGGTCGTGAGGGTGGTGGTGGTGATGACAATGATTGGGCAGTTAGTACGGTTGTCTACGTACAGTGCAAAATAAGTTCAACAGTTCAACATACATACATTCAATTAACTTGATTTTGACACTGTGGCAACAATGACGATGATGATAATGCTGCAAGTTGGTAGTGACGGTGGTGGCAAGGCTACAGCAGGGATAGGACATGCCTGCAGGCAGACCCCGCGCAGCGCGATGATGTTGTCATGTCGCAACATGGAGAAGAGTTTTGCCTCCTGCCGCACGCTCTCGGCCGTGGCGCTGATTTCTTCGTCGGGGTCTTGCCGCGCTGCCTTCACTGCCACCTCCTCCTCCTGCCAGAGGCCTCGGTAAACCTGGCACAGGGGGAATCGCATGCAATGTCAGCAGACGCTGCCCAATTCTCAAGCTGCCCGCTCAAGGGATGCCAAGACTACTGGAAATATCTGGGTGGCTTAGATCAACGGTTCCCAACCTTTCTCTGGGCCCGCCGACCATTGACAAGTGCTTAAAAATATCTCGTGGACAACCATGGCCTTGCAAACCACCAGTGGTCAGCAGACCCCAGGTTGAGAATGATTAGCTTAGCTGATATTAATTGACCATACCTTAACATGCTGCTCAGTGCGGTTGGTAAAAGCTGAGAGAAAATCGCTGTGGGAGCATGGGAGCACGATAAAAAATTTACTTTGCTGAACAAGGCCTCTGCTGCCCAGCACACAATCCTACAGCTTGTAATATCTGTTTTGCATGGTGGTCACCAATCTAAGCACTATTCAGGCAAAAAAAAACCTTGCTTAGCTTCCAAGTTCTGCTGATATTGAACACATCCCGGGTGATTTGGTTACAGGCATACTATATATGTAAAGAAATACATAATTCACATTTAAGTGATTTAGCACAAAATGTGCAAACAAAACTTCTCAAATAGGAAAACATTCGACTAACATTATGTGATTTCCTATTGCTCACACAGACAACGGGATAGCAGTACCGTCGACTGCTGCTCCGGGGAGCAAAGACAAAACTTTCATCTTCCCATGGTAGGGGCCAGTATTCCTGGGAACCACGATTGTTTACTTTTCACGTAAAAATAATCATTTAACTCGAACCCAGAAGGATAACGTGCCTACCCCTGATGTGGCTTTAACTGATAAACTTCGTCCTGTAAAAGAGCAAGGTTGCAGGAATTAATATTTGTATATCCTTGGCACCCAATGATTTATCAACTCAACCAAGATTCATACAATCACGATACATGCACTGCATCGTGCATTCAAGTTTCAATTGTGTACAATTTGTGCGAATTATATTCTGATGTTACGTTTAGGGCTGAAGGACCGAACGAGACAGTGTGCGCACAACACGAGAGAGAAAGATAATGAGAAACAATATCTAACGAGAAATTAAAAACAAAAAAAGTAATTGCCGACACGCGGGCACGCCCGTTAAACCGCGACCCGCACACACTGAACATTCCTGGCTGTTGTGGCAATAAAGCAAGGGAGGACGGGCCAGCTTACTCATTAAGATATTTCAGGGAAGGCTGGCAGCTCTAAAAATAGCATAATCACTTTACAGTAGTGAGGGCGCCGCCACCTCCTCTTTCAATGCGGACGACAACAAAAGAAATGCCCAGAAAGGAGCCCTTTTTCCAAAGGTCGTGCAAAACCATGTCCTGTACGGCACATCGTATACCCTCCCCGTCGGCTTCTGCGATCTTCCTCCCAAGTGTATAACCTCGTGCCTGCCCCTCTTTTTGGTCTCGGCTGCATTTGCCGACCACAGAGTATTAGTTAGGGTCATTACGAACGGCCCGTATTGCCTCTCACGTGCACGCACACACGGCACAGTGAAAAGATTATCTGCTCTTGACGCATGCAGATGGGAACCGAACTGCTTTGGAGTGCCAAATCTAAGCCATTTTTTTTTGCAAGCAGTCATTGAGGTAATCATGAAATTCAGGTTGACTGTCAAGGGCAAGAGGTCATCAAGAGTCAAATGCATAATAATTAAAATAATACGGATATTACTTGTTTACATGAGACTTCAATGGAGTCAAGAGTAAGGCTCCTGCATTGGGATGTTTGACCAAATAAATTTACATTCATGTTTAGAACATGGGAGAAGATGCAATACTCACAAGTTCTTCAACGGTTAGTTCAAGAACCCACACTTTAGAGGAGATAACACTGAAAGCTCCACATAGATTAAAAACACCATTGCTGTTTTTCCATCTCCTGGGCACCTCACAGCCCATGCGTACAACATCTGGTATATCCCCAGGAAGTCTCCAATCCAAGTACTAACCCAGGCTGAAGTCCCTACTTAGCTTCTGAGAGTCAAAGAGATCGAGCACATGCAGGGCGATTTGGTCACTACTACCACCAGGGCATCCCTCCTCCTCCTCCTCCTCGCAGTCGTTGTGAAGGTGACACTATACTTCCTTGGATCACGATTACATAGTCTCAAACCATGTGGTTTTGGGCTTTTCATTGGCCGCCAACCTCAGGGTGCCGCCCTATCATCTGCTTCAATAGCATGGCCTCCTAAGTACAGTGGGTTCTGCTATGACGTGTTTTCATAACGAGAACTGGATATAACGCAATTAAGTGAACAGAACTACGTTGCACGAGTAGGAATAAGCCGTTGTACGGCTGCCTCGAGGTAGCATTACACAAGGCGGGATGCTGCTGGATGCTTCTAGATACTACCCACGCGCTTCAGTCTTTGTTCAGCCTGCATACAAATCTCATGTATTATCGTGGACTGTGCTTTACCCTACATTTTATATCATTTCCTATATTATAACGTGGTGTTCTCCAGGAATGCAACAACAGCGTTAACGGAGAACAGGCTGTACTGCTATTAAATGTTTGTGGTTGTGCTGTTAGTTTTCCGATGTATTTTCGGGTTGTATCGCAATTATTGTTCCGAATGAAAGTCTCCACGTGCCGGATGTTTCGTCAGCAACATTTCCCTTCCAGCACATGGCAGCAAAATCACCTCCTGTAAAAGCTCCCAGCACGTGGAGCGAGATATCATACATCATGGCCACAGTCACACTACTGCTGCTGTGTGTTGTGGCTCGTCTCTAATTTTCCATTCGTGAAAACGTGAATGTTAAAGAAGTGCTGCAAATGAACGGTTACAATGATGCAGAAATCAACAGGGCATTGAATGCCAAAACTAACTCAAATAACACAAGCATTGAAACTGCCCAAGTAATGAAAACGATAATTGTAGGAGTAACTGATAAACTAGCCAGATTGTACCTGATGATAGTTGCTTGCATTGCAATCGAAACGTCGTATTCTATTATTATTTTCTTTTCTTTCTATGTGACTTTACCGAATGAACCAAAGATTAGCCAGATGTTTGGAAAAACAAAACATCCGAGTCAGATTTGGCACGGTACATAAAATACAGAATTTAATATCTGGTACAAAAGATGTATTACCGAAACTGTCAACAGAAGGTGTGTACAGGATTAACTGCACGTGTGGTAAATAGCAGAACACGCGTGCCAACAAGGATGCTCAATTGATTTTGATAATGTTGAAGTTTTGTGCAAAACTAGCTCCTACTGGCCAAGACTAATTAGATAATCTATCGAAATTGAAAGAAATCAAAATAACTTTAACGTTCGGATAGCTACCGTCTTAGTGTTGCATGGAAGCGAATCATAAAATAATACATTATTTAAATGCATGCCGACAAAGGGCAGTGTACTTCAATAGGGATTACCATTGGTAGGGCTATTTTAATAAACACAATAGACAGGAAGGACAAGTTCAAAGGGCTCGCATAATGCACATGCATAATGTACGTTGCCTCAGTAATCCCGCCCCCCCCCATCATTGTGCAAGAGCGCAGAAGGGTGGTCAACACATCTACGCCTCTATATAAGGAACGAAACAGTAAGACTTCTCCACAAATCTGGCTGTCGCCTGATGAAGCTAGTTGTAATTACTGGCGAAAGGTCGCACTCAGTTTGTAAATGTTGTGGCTCGGCTCTCCAACACACCGGTGTGCTGTACTAATGACGAATTGGCATATTCTGTTTATGTGACAACCCTTACTAGTTGGCTGTGTCGGGTGGTGGCGGGTTTTAATGACACATTTATATATTTACGCGATCTAACCCAAAAACCTATATTATGGATGATATTGGTCACGAAAGCCTACATGTTAAACTCACTAAGTGAGCGTTTTGCACTTAAATTCAAAGCACCAGATGGAACTGTGGTGTGCACTGTGCCAGTATGTGCTTAAAAACAACAGATTGGAAAGTGTCAAAATGGGTAGAGAGCGTCGGTAGTCCTGCTATAACAAGTGAATGATTACGGAAAAGTATTCAGAAGTAAAGAATGCCACATCTCTACAGGGAGGTGTGCACGATGGGTGCTGTAACTCTTGAGCTGAGCCTCACTGCAGTGACAAGATGGAAGGACATGGTAGTCACTTTCCATCATATCCCCGCTGACAAATGCTTTGTTCACTCGGCAGATGTGATGAGTTTTGGCGAATGGTAATCAATGCCAGCGGAATACACAGCCGCATTGAATGACAAGGTTACTCGGCAGAGAAGTCACCGTTCAAATCGACGCCACCATTGCCAAGTGTTGTCCTGTGGCAGTTTCACCCTAAGATATCACCAAAATATAAGCTTGGCGCCTTCTTTTTAAAGCAGGCTCAGTGAAAGATAGAACCGAGGCAAAGAATGATTCACCCTCGCTATGATTCTTCAAAGTGAAGTTCTATTAATTCCTCTCTCATTTGTAGTCTGCCTTGTGCATTTGTTCTGCATTGCTCACTACATACTTACCGAAAAAGTAACACATGCATGAAATATGCATAAATCTCCAACAGAATCCTCCCACGCAGTTATGTGCTTGGATTGTGAATGTGCATATTGATTTTAACCGATTAATCCACGAATCATCACCAGCTTATAAGCTACACCTGTTCGAATTGCACCTCCGAGGAGCATGGTTGGCTACGTACGGTGCGAAAGAAAATAGATACGTACATACATCCTTCGATTCAGGCGTACGGCTGGAACAAAGTGCCTAAAACTCGCAAAAAAACAAAGATCTATTGTTTTTTTTACCTGAACAAATATTGCACGTTACATGTGGGCCAATTCAAAACAAGTACAATTTTGGGTTAACCGTCACTGGCTCGAGACATGAGGTTATATTGATGGAGCCGTGACAGGGAGTGCAATTTTCAGGAGACGTGTACCTTCGGCAATGCCCATATTATAAATGTAAACAATTATCCATAAAGGACTCTTTAGAAAGATAACTGTTTTAGATTAAGATATATTCACCTCCAATTTTACTCTCTCACTTGAATAAGATCTCGTCTATTGAATCACGTCTGTAGAGCACCGTTAACTTCATTAGCCTAAATGTAACAGAGAAAATATGGCATATAATCTGCATATATCGTTAATTACACATCCAAACACTCACAATTTGATACATGTAATATGAACACAAGTATCATCGTTATTCAATACATCATTACACGATTGATGCCTATGAAACTACAACTATTCGGTACTCCCTCGGAAAAGTATAATCACTCTCACTGAGCTTTCGCCAGGTGAAAGCAGTGACCCACAACCTCTAATAGGCTGAGTTCGTGTATACTAAGGTTTCGAGGACTCTAAACTAAGCTAAACTATTTTTATTTTACCAGGTAAGGCCCATGGAGTTACATAGCTCTTTTTCAGAATCAACCTGACCCCAAATGATAGCCAAATAACGCCGCTTATCATGCGGAAATTAATAGCAGGCAAATATTCTAAACGGACGTTGTTTCTAAATGTGAAGGGGAAAACTGGAGGACCCGGAGAAAAATCCACACGACCACCGTGAGAACATGGAAACCCCAAATATTCAAGCGTCAGGGTCAGAATCGAACCCACGAATCCCCACATACCAGACAAGGGAGTTAAAATCTCGCCACCATAACTCCTTGTCCAAGTCCCCTTGAGACTCCCCAGTAAAGCCCGCCGCAGCAAACAGTGCGGTATGAAAACATGCCTATAGCACTGTGATTTAGGAACAGAGTTGGTGGATGACTAATTGATCATTTATATGGGCACGGAGGAGTCTGCAGATAGCAGTACATCAGAAGCAGGTTACTCGACTAACTATAAAGAGTTTGAACATCCTTCCTTCATATCAGTCAAAAGTGCCCATCAGGACCCTCCTGAAAATAACCTTGAGATACAGTGACACTCTCCAGGCCAAACATCCAAATGTAGCTGAATAGTTATTGATGGCTGTGTCTTACTTTCAGGTGTTTGATGCGACAAGCAACTGATGCAAATCATCCTCCTCCTCCATGCTTTAATGTATCATTGCCACTTTGCAGACCCCTCCAAATAACACCTGCAGACTCCTGATTGAGCAGCCGAAAACCTCCAATTTTTCTGTGCATCTAATTTAAGGCAAAGCCATTGCCAACGTCTCCATTACCAACACTGGAGAAAATTGCCAAAAACTACGTTAAATTTTGATTTAAAGCTTTCGTGACTGCAGTAATTCATATTCTTAGTTCTTTCGGTAAAGTCACGTTGAAGGGAAACAACAAAATAATAATATATATTATTATTATTTTAGTCACGTTGAAGGGAAACAACAAAATAATAATATATATTATTTTATTATTTTGTTGCTTCCCTTCAACGTGACTTTACCGAAAGAACTAAGATTATAATATATAAAAACTACGTTTTTGGTCATTTGGTCAAGATTACAATCCGACCCAGGGAGTACAATTGTGGTGCAGATGGGCAGATGTCGTGCAGAAATGAGGAACGCAAACTGATTTCCAGTGATCACAAGGCTGGATCGTGTAAAAAACGAAGATCTCAGCAAGAAGATGGGAGCGGTGGTAACCATTGCAGACAGGCTGAAAACAAGAGGAAAACAGCATCGTGGAAAAAACGTGATGAAAGTGGAAACATCAGTGGAGCTGGAGAGGCAGGCCGAGAGGTGGTTTGTAGTGGTCAACCAGGTTGTGAAGGACTCAAGCGTACATGGAAATGGGCCAGGATAGGAATTAGTGGATAAAGGAAGGCAGACCAAACCCAACACGGGTGAAAGAAGAAATACATCAGAATGAAGGCGTAGTGTGGATAAGGGAGGGAGGGAGGGAGGCACCTTCCCAAATCCGCCAACGCCAATGATCTCCTCGAGCAGGAGCTGCGTGAAGGCAATCTCCACGGGGGGCACGTAGTCGCAAGGCTTCGTCCTCTGCAGCCTGTTGAAGCTGGGCTTCCGTGTGACGTAGTTGCTGGGGAAGATGCCAACTCGATCCTCGATCTTTCCCGTCCACCAGCCCTCGTCGCCCGACACCTTCGCATCCTGAAAGTGGCACAGGGCATGACGTGCATTTACGTTCAGTGCTTTTCATTTTAAATTTTGCACGACAGAATGTTTGTTTGTTTGTTTAACGCAAAACAATTTGGTTTAATATAGCTCCTAAATGCAAGCACATTTCATTAGATTGTACAGGACGACAGTAAGTACAGTGAGGGAAAAAAGTATTTGATCACCTGCTGATTTTGTACGTTTGCCAACTGACAAAGAAATGATTAGTCTATAATTTTAATGGTAGGTTTATTTGAACAGGGAGAGACAGAATAGCAACAAAAAAATCCAGAAAAACGCATGTCAAAAATGTTATACGTTGATTTGCATTTTAATGAGGGAAATAAGTATTTGACCCCTCTGCCAAACATGACTTAGTACTTGGTGGCAAAACCCTTCTTGGCAATCACAGAGGTCAGACGTTTCTTGTAGTTGGCCACCAGGTTTGCACACATCTCAGGAGGGATTTTGCCCCACCCCTCTTTGCAGATCTTCTCCAAGTCATTAAGGTTTCGAGGCTGACATTTGGCAACTCGAACCTTCAGCTCCCTCCACAGATTTTCTATGGGATTAAGGTCTGGAGACTGGCTAGGCCTCTCCAGGACCTTAATGTGCTTCTTCTTGAGCCACTCCTTTGTTGCCTTGGCCGTGTGTTTTGGGTCATTGTCATGCTGGAATACCCATCCACAACCCATTTTTAATGCCCTGGCTGAGGAAAGGAGGTTCTCACCCAAGATTTGACGGTCCATGGCCCCGTCCATCGTCCCTTTGATGCGGTGAAGTTGTCCTATCCCCTTAGCAGAAAAACATCCACGAGGTGAGATCTTGCATGGAGCCCCAGGCCGAGGGAGATTGACAGTTCTTTTGTGTTTCTGCCATTTGCAAATAATTGCACCAACTGTTGTCATCTTCTCACCAAGCTGCTTGGCAATGGTCTTGTAGCCCATTCCAGCCTTGTGTAGGTCTACAATCTTGTCCCTGACATCCTCGGAAAGCTCTTTGGTCTTGGCCATGGTGGAGAGTTTGGAATCTGATTGATTGATTGCTTCTGTGGACAGGTGTCTTTGATACAGGTAACAAGCTGAGATTAGGAGCACTCCCTTTAAGAGTGTGCTCCTAATCCCAGCTCGTTACCTGTATAAAAGACACCTGGGAGCCAGAAATCTTTCTGATTGAGAGGTCAAATACTTATTTCCCTCATTAAAATGCAAATCAATTTATAACATTTTTGACATGCATTTTTCTGGATTTTTTGTTGTTATTCTGTCTCTCACTGTTCAAATAAACCTACAATGAAAATTATAGACTGATCATTTCTTTGTCAGTGGGCAAACGTACTAAATCAGCAGAGGATCAAATACTTTTTTTACCTCACTGTATGTATGTTTTAATATAGAAAAAGAGTAATTCAGCCACAGCCAGAGGATAAAGTGAGTCTTCACCCTGGAGTTAAACAAGGCCAGGGAGTTCAACAGGATGGGGGAAGGGAGTTCCAGACTATGGGGACAGCAGGGGAACGAGCAACATTTATAAGAGTACCAATTAAGCAACTTTGCCGTTTAGAATATAACTTTTAAAGAAAGCGCAGTGCACGGTCAAACCTCATCGATTCAAACAGCAACTATTTGGAAATATTTCGAATCACACATTTTACGTTGGACTTTTTGTAAAAGCTAATTGTGTGCAGAAATATGAAAGCATAATCATGGGGGGGTGGCAATGGCCCAGTGGTTGCCACCATTTGCCATAATCCCAACAACCAGAGTCTAAACTAGGTCTTGGGGTCCTCTCTCCTTCACCAGCTTGCAATGACCCTTTAAGACTGCCAAAGGGCTGTCATTATAATTATCATATTAAAAAAATAAGCTGCATCAGCAAATCGTGTCCCCAAATATTATGATTTTTTGGAGTTAAATAAAGGTATACACATTTTGATTTAAAGCTTTCGTGACTGCAGTTTCTCTTCAACGTGACTTTACCGAAAAAACTAAGAATAGGTATACACATTGTTAGTGGAGAATTAGTCATTAATCAGTCGTCAATTTGGTATTCGTTAATCATGTGTCCATATGGCTGTGTGACATACATTCAACAAAGTTAAGCAATGAACAATTCTCAGAAAAAGCTCATCAACCTCGTATTTGCTCATGCCCCCCCCCCCCCCCCCTTGCAGCATTATTCCTAATCGATTAACGAATCAGAAAAAACGGTTTGTCACGAGTGGGACACACAGCATAGGTGGACGGTGGGTTTCAGAGACAGCCGTTTCAGTGGCACTGCAAAGGTGGGTGATCGAGGGGGCCAGATAGTGGAATACTACAATACCTTAACCCTCTCCCGTTCCAATGACGTATGCGTACGTCATCAATTTTTTTTTCCGATTCCGTTTGGATTACATACGTTTAGGTCATCGCAATAAAATGGGAATCGTATCGATTCCGAACGGAACCGGAAGTAAAAGGCCATGGGGCAGGGCTTATGGCACAGTTTGGCGGTACCTATTGTAGAGTGCGATAGTGTCACGACAGCTCTCTGCGGTGAGCACAACTGAATGTCTTCAAAAACAGCAGCACTATGCCTCTAAATAAGATGAACACCTAACCCCTTGAGCGTTCCGAGATTGAGCGGTGAACGGGACACACCGTGCAAGTTGCAGACGTCTCGGAACGGGAAAGGGTTAAGAAGCAATCTTTGTAGGTCATGTCAACTGTGCATAAGGAACTGATGTTGTGGTGGCATCATCAGTCTTGGCAGCGATAACCTGATAACCTAAGGACTTAATCTTGGCATTGATACTCCAGTTGTGCTATCAGATGTCTGCAAACATCAAGCGCATTGTCTTGCATTTGGAAATGGCACTGTATGATGGAAACACACGACTACTTCAATGAAAGAGGTGCTCTGCGTAGTTGCCAAACAATGACAATTATTTTCACTATGCCAAGGATTTTCACCAAAATCACGACCTGTGAGGATATTTTGGATATTATTTTAGGAAAATGTCTGAAAATTATATCCCCGATTGCACTGCTACCGTTGGAAGACACCACTTTACCGCGGGACTCACTTCAACAACAGGCCTTTCAACATAATCGTCACCAGCAGGGAAGTCACCACAACCTCAAAGGGTAATGTTATTTATGTGTCCAAATAAGCCCCATGGTTACAAAACTCTCATTAGAAAGGAAGTTGAGGCCATTTATTGTTGAATTAGTTTTTCACTTGTGGGAGGAAACAAGTCTACTCCAAAAAAAAAGTGACCACATACCAAATGTTCCACACAGATAAGTTCATGAATCCACTTGCTGTAATGCCATCTCCTGGCCACCTGACAGCCTACCAGTTTAGGAGATTCACAACTCCGCATTATTTATTCATCCTTGCCTCCACAGCACTGCATCACAGACGTGCGTCAGAAATTTTCGGATCATGCCTTCGGCGGCACAACCATATCCACAATCAGACATCCATGTTATTTAAACAACATCTCGCCACGGTGGCAAGATGTTCACAACCTTGCCTGGTATACAGGAGGTCGCAGGTTCGATCCCAACCCTGACATCTGTATATTTGGAGTATGCATGTTCTGCCCGTGGTTGCGTGAATTTTTCTCCATGGAGGTTTTTCCTCCACATTTAGAAACATCCGTGTAAAGAGTATTTGGCTGCTATAAATTTCCATGTGATAAGCCACTTCTTTGAGCTATCATCTGTGGCCAAGTCGCTTCTGAAAAACAGCTATATAACTCAGTGGGCCTTACCTGGAAAAATATAAAGTTTTAAATTATAAATAAAGGGGAGCGGTGGCGCAGCGGTTAATGCGCTGTGCTATAAACTCGGCGACCTGAGTTCCGATTCCCAGCTAGGTCTCAAACATTAGTGGCAAGTGATATCTAAACTCGTCCTACTTCTGCACCCCCAAACATCACCAACACGTGACATATCAACAAATGAACCACGGATAAACATGTGTCGCCACAAGTGACAATAAAATGTCACACACATACAAACCTATTTGTTCTGGATTTAATTAACAAGGAGATCGTTAACGGTGCTGGGGACGAGGCAAGCATCGCTATGCAACTCAATGGCTACATTGTAGTGCCTCGTTTATATTGCTTGTAATTTTTCATCTCATTTACTCCACGAGCCAAAAATGTAAACAGTATATCATCTGCCTATAACTCGCATACATTGAAAATATTCGATTCTTCCTCGCATGCTTTGCGAAGGCTTATATTCGTGATTATCGTTCATGCCAACGAGCAGCACAAAGTTTCGATATTGGTTGTGGACCGGAAGGGGGAACTTCGATGGGACATGCAGTCCCTTGAAGATCAGATTAAAATAGGAGAAAAAACACCGAAAGATGAAAATGAAAACATACACACGAATCACACATCTGACGAATGTCAAGAATGCACAACTGCAGAACAAAATGAGCATCACCAAACAAGGCCCCCCCCCCCCTCCCGAAATAAAGGGGCAATAAAAGTTCCCAGCAAGAGTTTATATGCACTTGGCGTTTGCTTGTAAATTATTTTAAAAAGTCCAAGTGCCCCCACGCACGACACTGGGTGGTGTCCATCTCTGTAGCTGGCCCTGAGCCACGGGTGGGAATTTCACATTCTTATGGCAGGGCCAAGTCTTTTCCTACTGTTGCCTTCACACAGCAAATAATAACGCAGCCTCGTCGGAACGCATGTAAAATATACATCGATACATCTGGCCGAGTTGATTCTTACACTCTTGAATCGTACGCATTACAATCGATTATTTTCAGTGTGTATATGTGGTCATGTCAAGAGGAGCAATTCCATTCGGAAACCCCGCACAGCAGCCCCCACGTGTCAGAATGGCTACAGAGAATGTTTACACTACTCCTGAAAAATCACTCAAGTGGCCTTTTAATCCTTCACACACTCTGCTTTTAAATTGCTTGTCACACAACAGCAGATAGTTCACATTCTCAGAGCGCAATTCAGCCAATTTTAA